CGATGGTTCTATTAGAAATGACGATTTTCAAAAGTCATCTTTAGAAATATCCTTTGTGTCAATGTTCCATTCTACATTAATTATATGAAAAATGATTAATATATTTTTTGATTTAATATATCCTACAATATCTATTGATTTAGCTAATAAATTTTGTAACTTTTAATTTTTTTATTTTTTATTCAAATTTAAAAAAAATAATTTTTAATTAATATATTGTAAAATATGTTAAATTTGGAGGACATACCAATTATCATTCTAATTATATATATTGAAACTAAATCAACTTGAATTTTATGTATGGAAATATTTTTTCTCCAGTCCGAAGAGCAAAATATTAGTTTTTGATGGAGAACAAGGCCTCACATTTAAGGAGCTCTCAAAATTCAATGGAATAAATTGTGTAATACAATATAATCTGAGTTGTATAATACATTTTTTTTTTTAAAAAAATCACATTTGAAATAGAATTTTTTAAGTTGACTAAGAAGAAGCCATGCATGGAAATTTTACCTGAAAGAAACCGCACTTTTTACAAAAGTTAGAGTAACTCCGTTACTTTTACAAAATCATCCACCCCCAGAAAGCAATTTATCCATTTGAATTGAACATAGGTATTTTTCTTTTTTTGTGAAAAACAGGAATGTAATTGCTGGCTCAATCAAACTACTAGCTCCTCAAATTGGTCACTGTTTCCGACAGTAAAGGAAAATACATAGATTTAGCAGAGAAAGTGCAAGCAACTTGAAACATTTGTGCAACAGTAGCATTTTACAAGAACTAGGTTGTAACAATTAGGTTAAATCTCTAATTTGGTCCCTAAACTATTGTATGGACCCCTGATTTGGTCTCTGAACTAAAAAGTCCCTAATTTGGTCTTCGAACTATTGTATAGACCACTGATTTGGTCTTTACTATTTACTAATTTGCCCTAAATTAGTCTTTCTGTACAAAAAAAAGCTAACGTGTTTAATATTTAACTGCAAAAAACAGTAACTTTACGGTAAAAAAACAATAACTTAACGGTTACGTGTCACATTAATAACGAGACATGTCAGCTGTTTTTGTATAAAAAGACTAACTTGAGGTAAATTGGTAAACAATAGGAACAAAATCGAGGATCCGTACAATAGTTCATGGATCAAATTAGGGATTTTTTTAGTTGAGAGATTAAATCAGGGGTTCATACAATAGTTCAAAGACCAAATTAAAGATTTAACCTAACAATTAATAAGATAGTTTTCATATATATATATATATATATGCATATTTTCGTGCACGTGCACGTGTGAAAATGTACATGAAGCATCGTTTCCATATAAAAGTATTTCCAAGTCCAGTTATGGAACTCATTTTCCATTTGATTCAATTAAGGAATTGCCATTTAACCCTACATATAATTAAATTCTCACTTTCAAAATTAAGGGGCAAAAGTTATTTATTAATTTTTGCAAATTATTTGAAAGCGATTAATATTATTTTATAAAAAAAATCTAA